GAGGGAGAGAAAGAGAGAGAGAGGGAGAGAAAGAGAGAGAGAGGGAGAGAAAGAGAGAGAGGGAGGGAGGGAGAAAGAGAGAGAAGAGGAGAAGATTTCAATCAATACCAGGCGAATGTTGGTGGAGAATCCTAACAAAGATACGGATTTCCCATTTGGCGCATAAACGTGCTCTTACACTTACACGTACTATTCACATGACGGGGAACTAATAAAAAAATCCTGGCTCTTACTTGCTAAGGGGAGTCATATCTTACGATGCATGTGGGGGTGGGGAGGAACACCGCCACCGTTGTGGTCCCAAAGTGCACTAAACTTACGGATTTAATTGCCTCGGAAGTTGATGCGGCCGGAATCAATACTCTGCCTCACGCGCGAGGGGCGAGGTAGAGCCGAGAGCCCGGGGAGGAGACGCTGGAGAGTTGGCCGTGAGGCCTCGCGCCGCTTTTTCAAACTTTCGCCGCTGCTTTTATATTGCGTCCTCTCCCGCGGAGCTGACGAGATTCTGCAAAGCCGCGTTGTCCCGGGGAAGCTCGGCGCGTCGACGGCAAACAGCCTCGCTGCGCGCGCGTCGCCTGCCTTCGCCGCGTCTTCTCCCCAACCAAACTTCACTGCGGGCGCAAGTGGGCGCGTTCACGGAGGAATATCCTCCCCCTTGGAGAGAACAGGGTGGCTCGGAATAAATGTTGCAATCTTCTAGGGCAAGTGAAGCGAACGTTACTTACGGTTGCTCTGCTTCTTTGTAAGAATTCTCTTGCGGCAAGAAGACCTAATTATTCTAGGTATAATATAATAAATTGATATATTGTATCAATTCCCTCAACTCATACATAAAATCAACTATAGATGCTAACTGCGAGCGTATGTGCTTCATGGATAAATCCCCCTCCCCGCCCGAGCGAGAAAAGAATGACTCAGAATAAATGTTCCAAATTTCTAGCGCTTATGAAGCGGACGTTAAGTTGCTTCTTAGTAAGAATTCTTTTTTTGTGTGAAGAAATAAATTCTAGAGGTATAATATAATGAATTGATATGTGTCAATGAACTCGCGTCATACGTGATATGCCATGAAGGCCGTTTAATAGAATCGTACAGATCTCATGTTAGTTAAAACCTTGATTTTCGAAAATTGCAGTAGTTCAATTTTTTTCGGCTTCTTCCTACAACTAAAATCGTTAAGACTGAATTTTTTTCTTTAATAAAATCTGTTCCTTAAATATATATTTTGAAATAATTTTTCGTAACATTTAAGTTAACTAATTTGAGTAGACTACTTTTCGCGTGAGTTTGCGTGAAATTACTAGTGAGAAAGTACGTGTTATAGTTGTTTTAATATGCGAGTATTCCGCGGCAACACGTCGCCATATGATGGAACGTTATCGTGGCTTCGGTGTTCACCACCGTCGTTATGGATGGGCGGGTCGCCACAGCATGTAAAAAGTTAAAAAAATGTTAACTTTTTTTGCAATGAATACGCGGTGAGATATTTCATATACTGAGGTTACACATGTATTTTACACATGATATTTGCCTCTAACTGAAAGACAACTCATCGAGCTCGGCATTTTGCAGGAAGATGAAATATATTGTCGCCATAACGTGAGCAGCTAATCACGTCTTGATAATGAAATGTTGAACCATGGGTATAAGTCACATGTGCAATTTGGTAAGATACTGCTTTAATGGTGATTTGTGGAAAGAAAAATAAAATCACATGTAAATATAAAATCCTTCAGTATCTATTCGACCCAAAATGCTTCGTCTCTAAGGCGAGTCTCGTAGTAGCGATAGTACGTGGAGCCATGGCTTCCAGTCCCGGTTAAAAATAGGTGAGCCGAACCATGTTAGATTTACCACTCACCACGTATCGCAGTTCCAACAATATCATTTGATTTCTACACCGCTATGGTGGCGTAGGAGCGTGTGAGTTGGACCTGTATGCATTGAACTTGGAACGCTTTGGACCTGATTTCTATTATGTTGTGGCGTTGGCGGATAGACGCACTCAACATGTATCATCAATTATCCTGGATTCTCCCTCTCCAATCAGTTACTCAGTTCCCGATATCTCCTAACGTGCCTGAGATGGCTCCACAAGGCATCTTCCTGTAATATTTAAAAGGACGGAGAAAGGGATAAAGGCAATCCAAAATCGGATGAAAAGGGGTTTCTAAACCGACACTTTGAAGGAACAGTGTGGAAGGAAGAGACATGACCCAGAAGACCGCGTTCCGAGGGTCCTGTAAGAAGTCTGTGATGCCATGGTATTGTAGATCTCTGAAGACTGAAGAGATGCGTGTAAAACTGTCGTCAGAAAAGAGTAAAACTAGCCTAAAATATTTTCTCGAAGTGTGCCACTCAGTGAAGGGCAACATATTTGGTTGTGGTTCGTGTTGTTTGATCATATTCATTGCACTCAAAGTAGTGAACGGTCTACGCCAGAATTTTTTCATATTTCCTTGGGAAGCTTGTAGTTTTCATTCACTTTAAAAACACATTTTTAATTAGAGAAAAGGGCAAAAAGGTAATACGTTGTTTGGTGCGTACATGTTTTCTTTATGTATCACCCACTTATCGATAATGTTAGATGACTTACTGAATGTGTGTTGTCTCTAATTCCGCTGTTATATTGAGAAGATGAATGCGGATGGAAACACCTAAATATTAAAGATGGTGTATCTACGACTGCGAAAATACCGTGAAAGCGCTAAAAAAACGAGTGTTGTAATTAATATTATAAAATAATTGGCATAAGCATTCTAATAGAGTCTTGATTGACCTTGATATAAAAGTTTTTATAGTGCAGATGGTATGATTATTTCTTCTGAATTTAAACAATATGTATACGCAATTGACACATGCATACATCAAGACCCAATAACACGTTTGCTATTGTAAACGTATGGTTCTAGTTTTGACGCAATACCAGTTACAGATGTGCTGATACTAAGATAACTCGATATTTTACTAAATAGCAACAAGCATTGAAATAAAATTATTCCATTGTAAACGTGTTATTAATATATACATGTTCGTCTTCAAATCTTATTTCCCGTACTTGTAACATTCACTCTGTGACTTATTGTTTAATCAAGTTTTACATTTTCAAAAGTATCAATTTTTATTGTGCATTTGTGTCATGAACCTATGAAAATGTGTGGTATAGAAATGATTGAGGTTAATTGTACCCAATTCTCACAAGATTGGTATTTAGAGAGCTAGATCGATTACTTCTCCAAGTTGGTTTTTTGAAACTTGGTGGCAGAACACTATGTGTAGTACATCTCAATAATTTGGATGGACTTGGTACGAATATTAGTTCGTCAAAAGCATTCAGGATTGTCAACTGTTGATGTTTTGAGTTAACTTATCAAAGAACAGTAATAACCGTAGAGTTCCACAGTAAATTTATTTTCCACAGCCTTTCAACTCACTTCTTTGTTTCGCACCCTTTTTCGTTGCTTGTTATTCCCCCTTGACTCTGATATTTTTCTCACCTTCGTCTAATTATGCACCCTTTTCCAAGAATTTTTCTTTTTCAGAATCCCCTTTTCCCCTCTCCGTCCTCATTTCATGTCACGGTATTTCACCCGCTTTTCCTTCCCTCTTCGTAAAACTTATTCATTCGAACTTCCAGTTTGTAATTTTCCTAATTTACCCTTTAAAGTATCTGGAAGTTCTCCGTTGTATAATCACAATCCAGTTTATGTAAATCACCATTCTTTCATGTTCACAGTTTGGATGTATTGTGGAAAAGCCCTGCGCCATGATGAAGGTAAGATAGTCATGTTATTTAACTTTGGTGTATGGCAAATTGCATCACAGTTTAGACTCAGGGGCAGGAATGGAGGGTTATTGATTCAACGAACAGAAGACGCTGTACATAAAGAATACGCGTAACTTATTATTCCTTTCAGACAGCATTATAAGTTTATTACAGTAATATAATGGAATAGGTACCTTTAAATTAACTTCTCCTTATAGCACATCACACAGTTTTTAACAGTTTTTGACGTAAATAAATAAATAGGTTCTACGTTGGGGTTTTGCATATGCACCCTTATATTTTTGTGAAGTGTTATATTTGTGTATTTCTTGATTGCTACGACTGGGCTATTAATGCTTCAGAAAAACAACGTCTCTTTCGTCTTATTGGTATTAAATGATCCGTGAGGGTCGAAGTATCCACTTTCCCGGTGCAGCGTGGGTCGTGAGCAATCAATGCTTGGATGTGGTTAGAGGTTGGGAGTACATGTTGCAACTAAATGGCGCTGACAGCAGGGACCCCTAGGGCCATTGACTTGATTACATTAGGTGTTATAGATGTTGCGGCGACAATTCACATTATGGCTAATGGGTTTGAATAAATCATATATTCATCATGAAATATCCAGTAAAACTGGAGTATCAACCTCACTATTTGACAACATGTTTTAGAAAGCAGTAATATTACCTACAGTTAAAAAGAAGAGGCATCCCAAATCATATATTTAATGGTCAACTCATATAATTGTAGTTCTTGTGTTATGTGAAGGAATTTATAGAAACGTATTTACGTGGAAAAGATTTTAAATACTGCAAAAAAACAAGTAAAATATTTAAAAAATCTATTCTCTATTAGGGGTCCTAAAAGTGTATATCGATTAAAATATGTAGATTTAATTTTCACTAGATTACTTACGTTTCCCTCTGCTGACGATTCAAAGAAATAAAAATAAATGCTATTGAAAGTTGGTAAACCTCCCTGGGAAAGTGTTCGCCCAATTTCCATTGATTTTCCTCCAATTCCGCTCCTGTTAAATAAAAGGAAGGGAAAATGCCACAGTATTAAAACTCACAATATTTCCTGATTTCATTGTTATTTTGCAGCTATCATGGCGATACTTAACGTAGCATTAACGCTTAGATTAAATTACTGATTTAATTCCGTTTCCCTACCGCGTTATCGGTTGATATTTACCAAGTACTTGCTCATATAATGTTCTCGTACATAGGTTACAAGATCGCAGGGTTTGCTAATACCAAAACAGTTGTGGGGTTCACTGTCAGCTTTAATGTTGCGGTAATACTTTCTAGCATTATTGCTTTTTATGAACCCATATTGATCCTTACTCCCATTTGTAAATTTTTGACAGAAATGAAACCAAATTACGTATCGAAAATGCACTAATGGAGTGATTTATTGAACCTACGTTGAAAATAACATTTTATTTCGTAATATAAATTTATAATTTTTTTACATAAACATATTACAGTTTTGTGTTTAATTGCTTTCGTTTTTGCTAATTTATCAAGTTTCTTACATCATTTATCGATAACAATTTTCAAGACTAAGAAGTGAACTGTAACAGCACATGATTTTAAAAGAAAAGAAATTGTGTTTCATGAACATTTTTATTTCTCACATCAACCTATTATTAATTTAATTTCTTGTAGTTTCTTAAGTTTTGGAAAAGTGTTGGACGTAAAACTTTGCATTTCCTAATCTTTTATTTCTTCTATATTGTTTAAACGACAGTGGGATGATAACTAAATATTTATTTTTAACGATTCTAGTTAGAATTCATTACATTTGTTAACATTTTAATTTAATTTTCAATTACACATTCTCGGCCACGATTCGGGTACATTTCACATTTTATATTGCGTGCTTTATTGTATCTTGTTGCCTCGCTCAGACCAGCTCGTGGGAACTTGGCCACCCCTCCCATCCCAGGTGGTACGCCGAACGGACGACGGTTAACGTTCACCAGGCGTAGCAAGTCAATTGAGCATTTTTGCCGCTCTGAGCAACACTCGTAGTTCATCACTCCACTAAATTCATCATTCTCCAGTTGATACGTGGTACTGATGAACATTCTATATCACAATGAATTGTGAATCAATTCATGATGAGCACATTCTAGTCATGAGCATTGAAGTCTTGCGCTTCCAGCATGAACAACTGTCTTGTTATACTGATTGTGATTACATCATACTGGTGCGCTATTGCCACCGTGTGCCACATGCATAGTGCACTGCTTCACGAACCACTAATATGTTAATAGTGGTTCCAGTCCAGTTAATATGTGGAAATGGAGAACTTTCTATATCACTATGTTCTGTGAACTGCAACATGCTAAGCTAAAGGTAATTACGAAAGTGTAAGTGTACGCTTCTAGCATGAACAATCATTTCGTTGTATTGCACATGGTCACACGTCATACACTGCAACAACGCAATTCCATTTGGAAGCATAATATGCGCTTCCGCGGCATTTAAAGTAACTTTGCATACTTGCCAGTCATGAATTGTGGCATTTCTAATCTCGTGTTGTTCTGCAACTGTGAATCGCTGCAACTCATTGCGTCGTGGTTCTAGTCAAATTCTCATGTTGAAACAATGTGCCTGTCAACATAATTCTACTGCAATTACTGCAGCATGCTAGTCTTACTACTACACCGTCATGTGTTATGTGCAATAGCTATAGTCATGTGTTGTCACACAGTGGATATCATCATTGCTCTGAATATAGTAAGCCATGTGCTTTATTTTAGCACTATTGTAATACATTGTGTTGTCTTTTCATTCAACTTCATCCTGTTTTATGCTAAATGTTAATCGTAATGACTAAAATCAGTCTAACTGCAAATGTCTCCAGCTATTTCAATTATTTAAAACATTTTCATCAGAAAATACAGTTACATAGTTGCAACACGTTATACATCTTTTGGGGGAATATTAATTACACGTTTTTCTATTCACTCAGTTCATGTCTACTGAATTCTCCCAGAGTAATAATAACATCTTCTGTAGATATTAACATTTACGGGCAATGCGACCACTTTACATTCTTATATAATTATTACATAACGCAGTGGTTCTCCGAATTATCAACAATGCTATCAAAATTAAAAGGAAGGGGTCGAAGTTCATTTGGCACACCGCCTCATCAGTCCATGCTCTCTATACCAACCCCCACCCATAATTTTAAGTGTTCAAAAATTATCGTTTTACATTATCATATAGAAATAAATTAGATCGTGAAATATATTGTAACAAATTGCTGTAGAGAAAATCAGTGGTAAGATCTAAAGCGGTCAGTTGATATACTTAATTATATTAAATCTTAATAAAACACAATTTTGTATACTAGAAATGTTGGGAAATGATTTAGAATATTTTATTATTTCGTTTCATTCGCTCTCCATACGAACATATTATTTTCAATTAAATGTGAACATTCATGGAAGCGTCATCCATAATTCATTGCGCTCATTTGTGAAATTATTGTTCCATTTAATTGTTTCATGAACATTTAATAAACCACGAGAGAAATAATTTTTGGCATTTGAGTCCCCATTTCTGTAAATCAATGTTACCATTCGACAGTTACAATCCTACCTGATTATTTCGTGGCTTATTATCGAGTTACACGAGCGTCGTCAGAGTATCTACAATACTTTGTGTACCATGTATCAAAGGAAATGCATAATCAAGTTTGGATAGGTTTCTTTTCCCAATCAAACCAGTCACTGTAAGATCGCAGAAGGGGGATTCTGTGAGATTGAGGGATTCTAGTAGATTGAGAATGCCACACGAAGGGAGGAAGAAAAAGTTGGGAAAGGGAGAGGTCGTTCAGGGCATCAATTAATGTCACTGCAGGGCTTCTGAGAAGGAGGCCTAATGCGTGAGTCTAGACAGTGGCAGGAGTGTTGGCACTAGCTTATCAGTTAGGGCAAATTCAGTCGCTGTCTGGAGGAGAATTCTAGCGGACCGCTGATCTGATCGGTAGTTTTCCGTGGTTTCTCCGATTAACACTAGGCGAATGCTGGAGCAGTACCCTAACAAGCGGGCCACGGACCGCGTGCGATCTTTCCTTCCTCTTCCTTGTCCTATCGTCGCCCCTTACTTACACAGACTTACACTGATGCACCACATTACCACACAAGCCGAATGAGCGATCGAGAGCTTGGAGCTTGTCCTCGCTGGGACGGTGTCCCGCTGATGGGAGCTACTTGGTTGAGGGAAACCCGGCTAGCAGACGGCAGGTCGGCGCCGGATCTTGCCACCCAGTGGAGAAAGATCACCACTACTTCTCGAGTGAAAAAACATGAACTACATTTACGGGAATAATAAATTTAGCCTTAACCAAGGTGGACACTACTTAATAATGGATGTGTCACAGTTTTAGACGTGCTATTGACTGTATATTTTTAACAAATTATTCTAAACACAGAAACAATAAGGGTTTGGAGACTACTTATCATATGAGTGTCATTGAACTGATAAAATTCGTAAACATTTATTGTTGAAAGCTCTTGAACTTTTCTCCAATTGTAGAGCATCAAAACTCTCGGTCAAACAAGCCACCCAGAAAGGACCAGACTACAGGCTATCCTAATGCACGGCAGTGTCATCCCAGTCTCCCCAGAATCCGAACCAAGTATCCGTCGGTCGTCGTAGTCTCACCCGCAGAGTTGGCGGCCTCACGGGCTCCCCTCGTTCTCCCGAAACTTTTACGCAGCGGATAATTCACGGCCGGGGGTTAAGCTGGCGCTCGCTTAGTCTAATGAAGAGCATCGGGGAGCGGACTCGCCGCCCGCTGCCAGCGAAGCGGGCGGGGCGGAGGGACAGGTGGAGCAGGGTAGGGGTGCGGGGACCGGGGCGGGGCGGGGGGCAGGGGCGGGGTAGGGGGCGGGGCGGGGCGTGGCGAGCACGTGTGCGGGGACGGGAAGGGTGGGGGAGCGGACGTTCTCAAACAAGATTCGCGGCGGGCGGCGGGGACCGAACTCGGGGCGTTTTACGCCCCCGCGCGGGGCCACCGGGCCATCAAGCCTATCACGAGCGTCATCATCGTCATTACGAGGAGGAGGAGGCCGCCATAAAGATAAAGGCAAATGCGGACGTGTGATTGGATA